CCTTAATCTGAAATCCCACCTTTGTTGCAAACTTACACAATAAAAGCTTTGCTGTACAAAGTTGAGAGGAATGTCTTAACAGATTATGACATTACAAGATGAGATACTTGGTTTGACATGGAATATCAGATGAATGTTTAGTTTTAAATTGCAAAAAAGAAAAACAAGAATGCTAAAAACAATAAAGAAAGATCAAGATGGTTTTCATAAAATCAGAAATCCACAAGCTGTTATCAATAATGAGTTCTGCTCTTAGTCTTCAGAGCAGGGTTTACAAAACCTAACCCAAGTTAGAAAAATGAGTGCCAATTTGTTTTCGGACAATATAGGATAAATTTGTATGAAGACTGCAAAATTTCATCCAAGTTTGACCTTAATGGTCCTAGAGAGTGTGCAACTGCTTCCCAATCAGCCAATGCAGCTTTCTTAACCATAAGCCATGGTAACTGAGTTAGCCTATTTCACAGCTTTCTTTTACTTATCCCTTCAACATGCAAGTTGAAGTTTCTGCTTTAATAATTTTGCGATTTGGCCCAGGTCTTAGTATCATGGACAGCTTATAACCACAGCAGGAAGTAAAATTTATAGCTGTCATCAATCTCCAAACAGACGTCAAAGGTCTATTACATGAAGAGGAGAGCAAAACCTGGAAGGAGTGCCTGGTATCTCAGCTAATCAGGGCAGGAGCAGGAAGATCTCATGAGCAACACAGGTCATTAGAAGAGAGGTCATCCCAGAATGGCAGAATTAGCACTTGTGGAGGAGAAGCAGACTAGATACACAAGATTAAAGTTTGAGGAGCCCAGGTCCCACTCCATAAGTGGACTTGGTCACAAACTCAGGCTGCAAGGATGGACCTGAATGCCCAGCTGCCTGATACTAGCTATTCCCTAGAGAAGACAGCCGGGGTGTTGGAGGCACTCTGCAAGCTGAATTGTATTTCACCTCACAAGCCTCAGTTTTCTCACTTACGGAAGAGGATAGCAGCAGAGACTATAAGGAGGAAAATGGAAAATGTTTAAAGGACAATCCTAGAACATCTCAGAGGGAACAGACAGCCCAGTAAGAGTGTAGCTCTCACTAAGGGATAATTCCCTTCCTTCCCCCAGGGGCTAAAGATGACTCTTCCAGGCAAGCTCTATCTGGTTGGCAGGTAGGCAAGTGATACTCATGTGGGAAGCTGGGAGTAAAAAGGGTGAGAAGCAAAATAATTTCTGACATTAACATTTCTAGTCCAAACCTTTCATTAAAGCACAAGTATATAACTGTTATACATACACACACACACACACACACACACACACACACACACACACAAAACACCTTATTTTTAAAGAAGAGAAAAAGAAATGCTCTAAAGTGAAATGCCATTTTTCTAACTGCCACTCCAGGGTTGTGTGTGACTTCTGGGAGGTCACCTAAAAACCTGTACCTCTGTTTCCTCATACCTGACAGCCAGGCTACACATACCTTCCATATTTTAGGGAAACCCTAAAACAAAACAAAACAAAACAAAATCCTGTGAAATCACTTTCAAATTAACAGCAAAATGTAAATGCCCTTATAAGGACGTGATGGGATGACTTTTGGGCTTTCCATATCAACTTGGGTAATTTGTCTTTTTGGCAAGCTGGATCAGACTTGCTGATCTCGGATAAAGCCCAGCCCCTTTACCTGCTTGGCTGAACACTTGCTGGAGCAAGTGTGCAGAAGATTAATGATCTATCCTGCTTCTACTTGGACGATAAGCCTGCTTTCTTGTACTACATTTTGGCATACATACACTTTTAGTTTAGCAAAGAGCTGACTGTAGAAACAGTAAATAATCAATTTCTAAAACACAAAGGGATATGGGCAGTGGAGTTAATAGAAGTTCACACCTGCTTATGTTTTAAGAATAAGGTTCACAAAATAATTAGTGCTTAAGTCAAATCATTAGCAAGTCTTTTGGGCTGACCCAAATTAAAGCTGGTGTAGCCAAACATTCTCTTAAGTTTCATTGATTCCAGAATGGTGAACCACATCAACATGTTTGAGAACAATGAAGGTGTTATTTCTTGTATAAATTGGTCAGAACAATGTTTATTTAAAACTGCTAGATCCTATATGGGATCAGTTTAAAGAAGACACGAAGAAACACACACAGGAAGGAAATAAAATACAAAATATAATAAATTATACAAAAATGACATCATGACAATAAGAAAATCTCTGGTTTGTCTGTGTTATTCTATCGTTCAACTAAGGAAAACTAATCTCCCCCCTCCCAAAATAACTTTTTGTAATAAAAAAGTTTTCTCTGTGTTCAAAAGTTAAGAATGGCCCTTATTTCAAGTACTCATTCTCTATTACCAAGAAATAAAAATAAGTTAGATGTTTAAGAAAGATGAATCCAAAAGCTGCTCATTCATTGAACATGGAACTTTGAACATCACTGAGTTATCAGATATACTTAAAAGATTCGTAACATTACCATTAATAGGAATTTTTACAATTATCAGTATTGCTATGATAATAACAATTCCTGTTTTTACAACTACAAAACCACTCCTATGAACACTACTATTGTTCTAATAATCTGATTAAAATCAGAGCTGGGCTACCTTTCTAAAAATACAGTCTAACGCTTACTGGATTAGAGGTGCCAGTGGCTGCACTCAGGTGTCTGCATGGTAATTAAGCCACCCAGGTGATTCCACAGCTTACTACTGCTTCAGGCTTAGGGGAAATCTTTTCAGACTCTACAAAATGAAAGAACAAAACTTCAAACTTCCTCTTTTAAAGCATGCACTGAGGATGTAATGTTTTACACTGTCAGAAAACTATATGAGATAACTGCACAGGAACCTGGGGCATTAACTTGCTTATTGTCACCTAAAAGTAGATGATACACTTGGAGATAAGCTGAAGCCTTGAACTGTCAATGCCATTAAATACTGCTTTCATATTCAGAAAAATTCTGTCCAAATAATTATTGAAAGAGTCCTTCAAGAAACATATGCTCTTCATCAAAACTTCCTTTCTAAGCTGGAAGCCATCATCCTCAGCAAACTAACACAGGAACAGAAAACCAACCACTACATGTTCTCACTCATAAGTGGGAGCTGAACAATGAGAACACATGGACATAGGGAGGGGAACATCACACACCAGGGTGTGTCAGGGAGTCAGGGGCAGGGGAGGGAGAGCATTAGGACAAATACCTAATGCATGCGGTGCTTAAATCCTAGATGCCTGGTTGACTGGTGCAGCAAACCACCATGGCACATGTATACCTATGTAACAAACCTGCACATTCTGCACCTGTATCTGGAACTTGAAGTTTAAAAAAGAAACAAAAAAAACTTACTTTCTAAATACCAATGCAATTGACATTACCTGATATGTAATTAGTATCTCCAAAACAACGTAAGATAATAGTCCCAGTTTAATTATTTGAAAATGAAAATATCTTAATCTCTGGAATGAATCTAGAGGAAATTTTACAGCCAAATGTTTGTGAAATGAAGTACATTATTAGTATTCAAAAATGTAAAGTATCACTTTCACCAATTAGATTGGAAAGAACTAAAACACTAATAAAACTGAGTTGGCAAAGATGTGGCAAAAACAGGCAAGTTCAGATCCCACACAGTAATTTGGTTTGAGCTTTGTGGATGGTAATTTAATGATCTTTACCAAAAGCCTGAAAAATGTGTGTATGTTCTGACCTAGCAATTCCATTGCTAGCAGCTTATCCTGCAAGGATGTTCATTATGACACATATGAGAAAACAAGTCAGAAAAAAGTACTTGTGATATATACTTGACAAAAAAAAATAATATTTTTGTGTATAGGTCCATACTCCCTTATTAACTGAAATCCCCAAATTTCCAAGAACTGAAAGACTTTTTTGTAATTAATTTATGGGAAATGTGACTGGCTGCAAAGCTATTTACAATCTTCATTTATTCCACTAACTGCAAATATTAACATATTTTGCTGCTGAAATATTAATGTATTTGATTATACGGTACAACTCCAAACTTCAATATGGGTTTTCTCACATTATCTTTCTACAATCCAAGAAAATTTTTTTTAGAATTCAGAAACAAACTGTCCCAAGGAGTTTTGGATGAGGGATAGTGAACCTACATTTATATGTGCAAAGTTAAATCTCAGTATGTCAATATACCGTAAAATACACAGTGGAATTCTTACATAGTGAGATTACATGTGATTTTTACCTTCTTTTGCTTTTTTATGTTGTCTGAATTTTTACAATAAACACACTTATCTGTATATTTATAAAAATGTTTTCCTATTTGAGAAAAAGAAAAAAGGATCTAGTATTTATGGAAACAAGCTTCTTAATTTCAAGTATTACAGCTATGTTCACATACCAGAGGTGTTTCATAATTCAGTCAAGTTGTTTTTCTGCTGCATAAGCTTTCCAATCACTTTTGTGATCTGTGATCAAGTTTTTCATAGAGTTGTGCATTTCATTATCCCAAGACTGCAGCAGTAATTAAGATGCCTTCCCTGGCTCCTAACAAAGATATGTCCGTGAGAAATGGTCAGAAAACGGACAAATACCCAGCATTGCCAGATACATCACTACATGCACCAACTCAAAAGAGCAGGAAGGGGGGCAAAGAAAGGGAAATAAGGAAAGAAAAAAAAGAAAGAATATATAAGCTTTCCTGTAAAAACTGCCTTGACTGCACATTAAAGAATTAAATAATTTTGTGAAGTATCTTGCCTCTCTAATGAAACTGCAAGTCCCCATAAGCAAAGCACACATCTTACACCTCCTCTGGCCCAAAGAGAAATGAAAAAATACTTGGTGGGATTTTTAAAATTATTTAAGTAGATGTGAAATGTATGGATTAATAAACATAAAGAACAAGTAAAAAGGGTGTACAGTCAAGACAGAGAAATCAAATAGGTGGCTATCAGAGTTAAAAGTTTAAAAGATTCACACGCTGAGAGGCGAAGGTTCTTGCGGTGGTTCTGTTACCATGCGCTGGAGGAGAGCCCCGGGGGGCGGGGGAGTGTCGCTGGGATGGGCCCTTATGCACCAACAGACTCAGCAGAGCCGAAGCCATCGTCACACTGACTCCTGGTTGCACACAAGTGAACTCAATGATGGCTATGATTGGGGTCATCTTAATCTTCAGTCAGTGACTAAACAGAGCTCTCTTGATGACTTCCTTGCTACTGCCGAACTCGTAAGAACAGTTTGTTGCTGAGAAACTCAATATTAAGTTTGTGATGGCTGAGGCTAGAACTTGACTGCTATCTTTTGAGGAGAGCCAGAGAATTAAGAAGCTCCATGAACAAAACAAACAGTTCTCGTGTAATACCAAGGAGACCAAACTGGGACAAAAAAACTAGCCCAGAAGAACTCAAACAGGCAGAGAAAGATAATTTTCTAGAATGGAGACATCAGCTTGTCCGGCTAGAAGAGGAACAAAAGCTGATACTGACTCCATTTGAACGAAATTTGAACTTCTGGCGCCAGCCCTGGAGAGTCATTGAGAGAAGTGATATTGTGGTCCAGACAGTAGATGCTCGAAACCCACTCCTGTTTAGATGTGAGGATTTGGAATATTATGTGAAAGAAATGGATGCCAATAAGGAGAACATCATTCTGATCAACAAGGCAGACTTGCCTACTGCTGAGCAGCAGCGCCTGGGCCACACACTTTGAAAAAGAAGACGTGAAGGTTATTTTCTGGTCAGCTCTGGCCAGAGGCATTCACCTGAACGCTGACTCTGAGGAAGAGGTAAACAGAGATGATAGACAAAGCAACACAATTGAGTTTGAAAACTCCAGTTTCGACAAGGCTGAAATTTCACACAATGAGATCAAACATCTCCCAGCCAGGGACTCTCCTTCACTTAGTGAAAATCCCACTACTGATGAAGAGGACAGTGAGTATGGGCACTGTCAGGAGGAAGAGGAAGATGACTGGCAGACACGTTCAGAAGAAGACAGTCCTGATGAAGAGGACTGTGGCCAGGACTGGAAGGAAAGCTATATGACAGATTCTGAGGCTCCGGGCAGGAACACCCCACAGAAGAGACAGACACACAACTTTAGCCATCTGGTATCAAAGCAGGAGTTACTAGAGCTTTTTAAGGAGCTACATACCGGGAAGAAGGTGAAAGATGGGCAACTTACAGTCGGACTGGTGGGCTACCCTAATGTTGGTAAGAGTTCAACAATCAACACCATCATGGGCAACAAGAAAGTATCTGTGTCTGCCACACCTGGTCACACGAAGCACTTTCAGACACTCTACGTGGAGCCTGGCCTCTGCCTATGTGACTGCCTAGGTTTGGTGATGCCATCTTTTGTGTCCACCAAGGCAGAAATGACTTGCAGCAGAATCCTCCCAATTGATCAGATGGGAGATCTCGTTCCACCTGTATCATTAGTTTGCCAGAATATTCTAAGACATGTTTTAGAAGTTACCTATGGGATGAATATCATAAAGCCTAGAGAGGATGATGATCCCCACCGACCTCCAACATCAGAAGAACTGTTAACAGCTTATGGATATATGCGAGGATTCATGACAGCGCATGGACAGTCAGACCAGCCTCGATCTGCGCACTATATCCTGAAGGACTATGTCAGTGGTAAGCTGCTGTACTGCCATCCTCCCTCCTGGAAGAGATCCTGTAACTTTTCGGATCAACACCAGTGACTCCTAGAGAGCAAAACGAATGGTGATGAAATAAAAATGCAGCCAGGCAGAAATAAAAAAAGCAAAGCAGATTAAAAATATAGTTGATAAAACTTTTTTCCATCAAGAGAATGTGAGAGCTTTGACCAAAGGAGTCCAGGCTGTGATGGGTTACAAGCCCAGGAGCAGGGTATTGACTGCGGCTACTGTGAGCTCTGAGAATGGGGCAGAGATGCCCTGGAAGAAACATGGCAACAGAAATAAAAAAGAAAAAAGTCATAGACTCTATAAGCACCTGGAAATGTGAAGTTGGGCTACAACAGAATGTCATCTGCACTGTGCAGATGGGAAAGAGCAGAAGCCGCTGGTTGCCTATGGAACTGTTCCAAGACACTGGCACTGTAGAAGGGGCCTGCTCTTGTGGAGCACAGCTGCACCCAACAGTCTTCAAGTCAAGACTGAGGGCCTCCTGGAAACACCAGCTCTCACTAGAAGGAGTTATTGGGGAGCCCCAGAAACTTACTCCAGCAGCACCCAGCAGTCTTCATGTCAAGACTGAGGGCCTCCTGGAAACACCAACTCTCACTAAAAGGAGTTATTGAGGAGCCCTAGAAACCTCCTGGCAGAGCAGTGCTTCATGTGCCAACATGGTGAAACTCCAGTGAACCTCCATCTCTACAAAAAATACAAAAAAATTAGCTGGGTGTGGCAGCGTGCACCTGTAATCCTAGCTACTCGGGAGGCTGAGGCAGGAGAATCACTTGAACCTGGGACACAGAGTGACGGGGAAACTGCGGTATTTACTAACTAGCCCATCTTCACTGGTTATTCCACTTATTTAAAGTATGTCCAGAATAAGCAAATGTCTATATAGAGGAAGTAGATTAGCAGTTGCTTAGGTATAGGAGGGAATGGGAAGATTGAGGCCTTTCTTTTGCGGGACATTTTTTGTCCTAAAACTGATTGTAGTGAGGGTCATACAACTCTGAATATGCTTAAGACTATTCATTGGTAAATTACATGGCATGTAAATTATAGTTCAATAACATAGTTACAAAATATAATCAGAAGCATGAAAGCACTACTAATAATGGGTTTTACATCCGTGTCCTCACCAAATCTCTTGTCCAAATGTAAGCCCCCATGTTAGATGTGGGGCCTGGTGGGGGTGATTAGATTATGGGGGAGAGTCCTCATGAATGGTTTGGCTTCATACCCTCTGTGCTGTTCTTGTGATAGTGAGGTCTCGTCATATCTGGTTGCTTCAAAGTGTGTGGCACCTCCCCTCTGTCTCCCTCCTGCCCCAGCCATAGAAGACGTGCCTGCTTCTCCTTAGCCTCTGCCATGATTGTAAGTTTCCTGAGGCCTCCCTAGAAGCAAAAGCTGCCATGCTTCCTATACAATCTGCAGGGCCGTGAGCCAATCAAACCTCTTTTCTTTATTAAAAAAAGTAATAATTTAAAAAAAGATTCATAATAATAGTGTATCATGTGATCAGCTCTCTATTAAATACTGACTCATTCATTCCATAGTATTTACTGAGCTCAACTGTGGGTAAGGGCCTTTGCTAGGTCCTGGGGACACAGCAGTATAACTTGAGCTGGCCAAAGTGGTGGAAAGACAGTTGGAGTAGCCACAAGTAACTCCATTTACTCTTTTGCATAAGAAAATTAAGTACACGTGTCCTAAATGCCAGAGGTGTTTATGGAGTCAAGTATATGAGCTGCCTTTAGGGAATTATAAGACTAACTCTGGGTTGGGCTTCATCCAGCCCCATAAACTTACAAATTGAGTGATTCGGGGCACATATTTTAAACATTTTTCATCTGTAGAATTAAAACACTATTACCTACCTCACATTTTGGAGCATATTAAATGAAAAAGGCCCAGAAGTGGATGGCTGAAGTTACTTGTCTCCCTTTTTCTTCTGTCCCTTTGCCTGTTTTGTTATTCGAATGTCTACCTTCTTCCTTACCTTACAAGCACATACCCTCAAGTCAGGAGAAAAGATCCTTTGACTGTTAGAAAAGTGAAGGCTCTTTTATCTCAGCAGTGACAGAAATCCATAAACCGCTTCAGAAGGGCCCCCACTTTCATCTACATTCTGATGCCTTAGGTCCTACCAGAAACCAGCTGCTGCTCCCAAGAAACCACTGCAGCACCCGATCATGAGAACCTTAGTTTCATTCTTGGATCATAGCCTCTCCTATGTCTTTAAACAATAAACAATTTCTCCTCAAATAATGTGCACTTTCCCAAACGGATATACATTTCTCCTGACCTAACACGTTCTGGGAATAATTCAACAACCATTTAGTAGATGCTATGTTGATGTTACTGTCCCAAAAGTTTTGCACCTATATATTGCCACTAACGCTCACATTGACCATACAAAGTGAATACTATTATCTCCTCACTGTTCCGACAAGGAAGGCACAGCATAGAGAGTTTAGATAATTTGCTTAATGTTGCATGCCCAAAATCCGATTGAAGTATAAGTTCTGGGACCTTCTCTCCAAAAGGTAGCATACTGATGATTTCCTATTTCCTCTGGTGGCAGAGTCAGTTATTTCTAAGAAGCCTCTACTTTGGGTTGCTTCAGCATCAGCTTCTGAAGATAGCAGAATCTCAGGCCCACCCCAGATCCACTGAAATACAAATATGCATTTTAATGAGAGCCTCACATGACTTGTACACATATTCAAGTTCAAGAAGCACTACTCTAGAACACGAAATCACTGTTCTCAATCTCACATTCAGTTAGGAAGACCCAAAGCAGTCACTGGAGTATGTGGCACTTCCGTACATATTAGAAAAATTTACCCACCTCCCCACTTTTTGTGTAGAGTCTGGCAAAAAAAAAAAACTGCTGTAGAGAGGAAAAAGGCACCCCCCTTCCTCTGGGCTACCATTCTTCCCCATGGCTGGCAAAAACTGCACAACACTGATGCTGCCCACCCACAGAGCACATGGTATTGGTTATTTTATGCCAAGGATCAAGGTCAACTGAAAGACAGATAAATCTAAAAGTATTTTAATCCCCCACATAGTGAGGTATGTTGACTGCAGTGTTCCATTAATATAATCAAACAGCTACGCAACCTCATCCTGCTGCCATACACCAGCTGCCTGGTAGATGGTAAAATGGCTAAAAGACAGTCAAGAGACCAAAGACTAGAGGCTAGTGCCTTCGAGAATGCATACATAATCACCTAATTAGCTGAACTCTTACCACAGAAGCACTGTCTTTAAGGACTTTTCACCTTCTCACAGAGAGGCCAATGCCGACAACACTCAGTACGGTCTTCTTTTTGTTCAAAACCGTTAGACTTTTTACCACGGAGGAAGTGTGCATATTGACAGAAGCAGATAACCTACCAGCCAATCTAATACTACTGCTAATCTCAGCAGGGATATCACATTTCTTGATATATGCCAGTCCTCTCAGTTACATTTCGGTTTTAACAAATAATACAAAATAATACAAAACAAAAAGAAAAACAAAAAAAAACCTGCATACGCATCTTACAAAGTGGTGACATCAACTTAAAGGTATCTTCTTAACAAATTCACTTTATGAAATGTAAAATAAGGAAAATAAATGTGTTAAAAGTATAAATTTATATGGGACTAGCCAAAATGAGTAACTGTAGCTATTAATAAAGAGCTTTTTTTTCTTCTCTCTTGAAAGGAAAAGCATCATAATATAACATAAAATGACACAAAAAGTCATTATTTTTTAGAGCACATTTCTTGCTGATATTTCACGTCCGGATATAAACGCTTGTACTAATGAAAATCATGAGTAGGTTAACAACATACTATTTAAAAACATAATTGCATAGCAGGTGGAAGTAATTTAGGGTAAAACAATATAATAAAGAATAAGACTACAATTTCTTAGGAGCAACAAGATTTTTAGGTTTTGATACAAGTTATTAAGATGAACAAAACTGCTGCTTTGCTAAATACTAAGTAAGCACTACTCTAAATTTCTAAAATAGCAAAAACTAAATACAGCACTGAGAAGATTTCTCTAGTGGCGTAAAAATGAGAAGGAAAGATGCCAGCATTTCTCATATTCTCCCCGACTTCCATTCAGGCATTCACTTTCCCTTAGTTCCAGCAAATATTCTGCCTCTCTAATTGAAAACAGACGCATTGTTTTAAAATTAAGAAAGGAAAACCATACATTACTTGGTTTAAAAGAACAAGGAAGGTATTCATCTGATGCTTTGCCAGGAGTTAACCAAGAACAGCACAATGACCAGCTTCACAACTTCCTAATAAAATGCATTAAACTATGCCACATGTGTTTTATATGGTGGCTGTCAGTTCCTGGCCATTCTACGCAGGTTAGTCTAAGCAGCTGAGAGCAGTTCAGAGACAGGCTGCTAAAGCAGAGTTCGCTCACGTGTTTGGACTGATCAGTAATGTTCCTTAGAGTGCTTTTTTTTTTTAATCAGCCATATCAGTTTCTGTTGACTACAATACAGGAGGTACTTAGCAAACATTTTTTATTATCTCAATTTAACAATGGACAATACTTTCAACTTGTCCGGACTATATAATTCTCAAAACACAATGGGAAATCGGCATTAGAATCACCACTATTTTACAAATAAGAAAACTGGAATTCAGAGACATTAACTTGTTCAATATCACACAACAGTTTTGCTGTACAGTATGTTTCAAACCAAGCTATGTATGACTCCAGTCGTTGTGTTCTTGTGTGTACACCACACAGTACACAAAAACCCATTACAGTCAACAAATGTTCATTTGTTCATTCATTCAACAGAGTAGAACCGTAAGTCGAATGCTGGACTAGGTTTAAGTAATTAAGGCCCAATGTCTTCCCTCAAGTGTTAATTTTTTTCCTTTCATCCAATTTTAAACAATGTGAATTAGCTAAAGATGAACTAAGCAGTGGATGTGGAAGCTGTGCATGAGCTGAAGATGAGCCGAGCTAGGTTACTTTGAGATGAGATGAAAAACAATGCAGATAAGTCATAAAGCATAATCTGGGGGAACATTATCCAAACATAGTCACTGCATGTGTACAATATAGAGATAATGCTGGGCTTCCATCAGTTTTATTCCCACATATACATACAATGTAGTGTCCAAAGGTCACTGCTGGCATACATGAGTGTGTGTTTACATGTGTGTATGTGGATACATATGTCTACAGTTCCACCTGTGCTTAATGCTCCTAATTTTACTATAGTGAACTGCTTCCCATTATCTGTATTAGGCACAAATGAGTAACCATATAGCATACCAGGATTAAAATATTATGTTAATAAAAGGGCAAAATCAGCTTTCATTATCTTCTGATGTAACATTAGCTCTCATGTTGAGCTACATGAATTGGTCTCCTTCCAGTAGCTTGAGATCACAAAACATAAAAAAGAAAACCCAAGTAAGCTTCTTAAATCTAAATGCTATAGATGGTGAAGATATGAAAGTGGAAGGGATTCTGATGCAAAATCCGGTGCTGCAGAGCCGCACTGGCCCAAAAAGTGATTAGTGAAAGGGGAATTTGGTAGAACTCCATTGCATTGTGTCCAGCTCCAACTCTTGTTAGAGGAAATGATTAAAGTGAGAAAGAAAATAACTGAATAATAATAAAGCCACCATCCCCATTCATAAATGAGGACACTGATCTAAAAAAGGAAACTATATTATCAAAGTAGGAAAAATAAAAGTCCTTTTATTGAGCTATGCAGTTAATACAGTATGGATAAGGAAATAAACTGAAGCCTCAAGAA